TTATAATTCTGCATTATCATAACATGTACAAGTTCTCCTAGCAGTCCACACTTAAATAGATTAAATCATCTCTGACATGGTTGATTTATATATGAAAATAACCTAATAATAGTGCATATACTGAACCAATCAAAAAATGAACTTTGGAAACAGGCTGCAGATGTTCTAACATATTGCATACTATGTTACAAATTACGGGTACATTTTTTATTATGGTTCTATCCATGTAAGAACTGATCCCTTCATTCAAAGGGGAAGAAAGATTAGCTGTTTTAGTAACTGTCATTTGTATCTTTAGCAATCTTACTATATTCATAAAAGTAAACATATATGGAGACTACAATGGAGGTACCTATTTACAGATCAAATTTAAAATAATCAAGTTTGGTTATACATATTGTTAGTCATGACTTATTATGTCAAAAGGAACAAAAGCCCCTCCCTGCCCCCAAAACAATAAAACCTATTAATGGCACAGGATTAATAGAAATACGACCCTGGTTTGGTTCATTTTTGTGAAGAGCTCACATGTTTGAAGGAACACTATCATTAAGATGCATTTATCAGTTTTCATATTCCTAAACAGATGGGTTACATTTGATTTTTTACCCATTTAAAAATAATAGGCTGGCTATATTTAGATGCCACTAATGTTCGTTTTTTTTCCTTGAAGATGTGGACTGTTTCCTATCATTTAATTTATTAAATGTAGAATGTACACTTTTATATGATACATGAGAATTATGACTTGCCCAATAGTGTAGCTAAGCTATATGTTTAATTTTTCTAAAATGGATTTTTGAAAATCCCAAATTAGTGAGTTGCAAATCTTTTTCGTAAGTGACTACTGGACCAGTGTGGAGAAACTGACGGTTAACCATTGTCATATCCTAGTGATAAGTGAGATGTTCCCCAACTTCCCATGAAACAAGTGTACATATAGTTTCATTTTCCTCTTTCTCTTGCTGAACATTAGTCAGAGGGACACATGCATGTTATTAAAAATTAGTTAACAACTTAAAAAATAATCTGTATTAGAACTGACTCTATCGTATGTCTCTTCTTTTGGAAGTCATACTGGGCTGGTAAATGCTCCATTCCAGTGTATTAACATTTAGGAAGCAGAAGATATTCCAGCTAGTTCAAACTGGATATTTAGTTACTACAACACTGACTCCTGGTTTGGTTGTGTAGTTCAGTAAGTCTACTCCTCTTCTCTGGCAGATTTGCTCCTGGATTCTGTGGTTCATTCTTTGGCAACTTTTTAGCTGAGAGATAAATTATCAAAATAAACAGAATTAGATATATATAAATTACTTTCATCTGCTTATTTATCTATTTTTCCGGTTAGATACCGACAGTATCACGAGCCATATGTTCATTATTCAAATGTTCACTGAGAATCTATTAATACCAAAACATTGGATGCTGTCTTAAGGGAGTTTTAATTTCTTCGAGAGTGTGTGTCTAAAGAGTAGATTGGGAGCTATTACAGACAGACAAAAACTTCAATTTGATAGAGCTATATATAATTCTTTGCAAAGATTCACTTAGTAAACCAGAAAAGTTGTACTTATTTGCAGAGACACTTTTTGAACAAGTCAACAAAACACCATCATTTCATCACCCAAACAAACTTGTCTTCTACTGTGACCTAATATCACACAAAATTATGACAGATCTATCTCTATTTTTTCCTGCTTGCCAGCTCTCAACTTTCTAACACTCACATTTCTGCCTTTTATGGTGATAAAGAACCCTATCTGATTCACCAGCAGATGTCTCTAATACAAATGGAATTAGTTCCTGAAGCTCTATTCTCCAAAAAACTGTTTCCAAATTTTTTTAATCAGGTGAGTATGGTTGTCAGATTCAGACAAGCCTCAACCAGCAGTTATGTCTTTAGTCTCAACTCTATAGACTAATGGCTCTTCTGGAGTGTGTTCCATTGATAAATTTACATGTTGATTGTACAGATGCTCCAACTTAAATGGGCTACATCCCTAAACCATTCTAAGTTGATGTGCATTTTTGACTCATGTAACCTTTTCACATTTACATTGGGTTCATCCACCATAATCTCATGAAGTGATTAAGATACTGAATGCCATCACTTTCATGCGTCATAAACGTTGACAAAGTCAAACCATTATAAATTGAGGACCGACGGACGATATTGTTTTTTAAATACCTGAGATCTTTCATGTGAAATGCATTTTTTTATTTTTGAAGGGAGCAGCAGTAATGTAATATGTCTTAGAGACTGCTGGTAAGGGTGGCTGGATACACTGGTCTCTCAACCTTGGGGGGGTACTACTGGTAAGACTTTAATTTACCATACCTTGACTCGGGTTATTCAGAGTTGAATGTGTTTCTACTTTGCATGAATGCTAGTTGCATTGTGCATCTTTATCCTTATTTTCTAGAATTCCACTCCAATCGGCAGCATTAACTAATCTTTAGACATTCTAGATGCTAGTTGGGCTATGGTTGAGGTCTGGGCCAGGACCATTAAGTTTGGAAAGAAACCTTTCACTTGGGCACTTTTCTAGGGCTGGCTTTAAGAGTGGTAGCTATAATGGTAATACAAGGTAAATCTTCAGTCAGATGTATTTACAAGCAAGCCTGTAAGTGCTGAACACTGGTACCTGGGACACAAATAGGCTACCCAACAAACTGTATGATATATAATTCAGGTTCTGAATTGAGTACTATTTCTCCCTTTAGCATGCTTCTCTCTAAGGGTTCCTGTATTTGAATCTGAGTAAGATTAGGAGGCTGAAGAAATCACACCAGAATGAGGAATTTTTAGTTGCTGAATTGTTATGAGTGCCCTAAGTAGTTACTAATCTTGTGAAGAAACAAAAGACACCAATTACTTTATACTCTTCCTTTCAAGATGGGAAACATTCTGATTTCAGAAAAACACTAAACTCCAATATGGATGGTTACTTTCTGACGAAAAAAGATCCTTATTAACCATCTGAATATAAAGGTACAATTAAGCCCATGTCGTGAAGCCTTAATACCATAAGAAATGTTTATATCCGATTGATGGAGGACCTATTACCTCTTGCTTCCTGTCATTAACTTTCCAGATGCGATTCTGGTTAATAATCTGTACCAGTTGTAAAAGCATATTGTCGGCCGGCGCGGTGGCTCACGCCTGTAATCTAGTCTTGGGAGCGAGCGGGCGGATACTCAAGGTCAGGAGTTCAAACCAGCCTGAGCAAGAGCGACCCCGTCTCTATATAATAGAAAGAAATTAATTGGCAACTGATAGCATATAAAAAAATTAGCCGGGCATGGTGGCGCATGCCTGTAGTCCCAGCTACTCGGAGGCTGAGGCAGAAGGATCACTCAAGCCTAGGAGTTTGAGGTTGCTGTGAGCTAGGCTGACGCCACGGCACTCACTCTAGCCTGGACAACAAAGCGAGACTCTGTCTCAAAAAAAAAAAAAAAAAAAATTAAAGGCCTAGAATTGAACTCCAGTAACAAAATTCTGATCCCTGGTATAGCATCATGTTTAAAATTAGACTTTTTTTTTTTTTGATACAGAGTCTCACTGAGTTGCCCTGGGTAAAGTGCTGTGGCATCATCAGCCTAGCTCACAACAAACTCAAACTCCTGGGCTCAAGCAATCCTCTTGCCTCAGCCTTCAGCTGTGACTACAGGCATGTCACCATGTCTGGTTTATTTTTTTTCCATTTTTAGTGGAGACAGAGTCTCACTCTTGCCGAGGCTGGTCTTGAACTCCTAACTTCAAGCAATCCTCCCACCTCGGCCTCCCAGAGCACTACGATGACAGGTGTGAGCCACCACACCATGGCAAAATGAGAATATTCTATGTAAATTGGGCATACTATTCCAGGAATTTTAATTCTCGGAGATAATATTCAAACATCACTAACCCCATCTCAAAACATATTACCTAACATTTTATAAATCATAAATGATTCTATATCAAGAAAAACTACTGCCTGTGGTAAATATGTAATTATGTTCCTAACAACTTGGAGAAATTAAATATTTCCTAATAAACCAAAGAAAGTTTTAGTAAACAACTATGGCCAGTCTGTTTCGGGTATGTTTAGATTTTAAGATTTCAATGAAGCTAGGTGCGCCTGTAGACCTCCAGCTATTTGAGAGGCTGAGGCAGGAGGATCACCTGAGCCCAGGAGTTTGAGGCTGCAGTAAACTATGATTATGTCATGTCACTGCACTTCCACCTAGACTACAGAGCGAGACACCATCTCAAAAAAAAGGAAAAGATTTCAATGCATCAAAGGTTCATCTGAACTATGAATAAACTACAACCAACTTTTAAGAATTCAGTTTCCAATCAAAGGGTTTAATTCTGGCTGCCTATTATCCATTTAACACATGAATAATACACATTTTTCATTCATAGGACTGACTTAACTTTTTTTTAACCATATATTACAGGAACCTAGTTAAGACTAACATTAATGGTGGCATTCTAATTTTTTCATTAGTCATGAGCTAAGTATGTTTAGGTTTTAACTTTTACCAGTTATAAAACTGTCAAATCCTATGCTTCAAAACTGTTTCTAAGTGAAAAAGCATATATTTAAAAACATTTCAAAAATCTGCTATACTGACTATATATGTTGGCTATAAAAAAAAGTTCAAGCCTTGACTCTCCAATATAAGTAATATTCTGATGCTATTCAATAGAAGATTTAGAAGTCACTTTTCATTATTTGTGGTTTTATTACTAAATACAGTAATTTTATAAACACTAAAGTTACTTAATAATGAGGGATAAATTCTTCTTAATTTGAAATCTTAAATTATTGTAAACTATCCAATAGTGATAACAATATTACACATATTTTTAAAATATTTTTTTCATGGCCTGCTTTCTGTTTAGGATTGACACAGGATTATTAAAGTTATTAAAGTTAACAGTAGATTTTGATACAACTGGTTATTAAATTTCCAGGATAAAATTCTCTTTTTTTAAAATAATCTTTTAGGTAATGTGCAAGCAGTTTTATGCAGAAATGGGAGAGCTTTTTGCCTAACCAAAGAACACACTACACGAAACATAAATGAAAGAAGAAGAGTACTTCAGAATGGAGCAGTGATCAGTTCACATGAACCATATGGGCTCTTAGAAGGGCAAATAAAAATCACACGAGGACTTGGATTTCATGGACGTCTCAACCTGAAAAAATTCATAATCCCAGCACCTCAAACTATTTCTGTCCCTATAGATGACTTATGTCAATTCCTTATTTTAGCCACTAATGGTCTTTGGGAAGTTCTGGATACAAAGGAAGTCATTGCACTGGCAATGACAATGTTTCAAGTGTATAAACAAATATATTTTTCTAACATACAAAAGAAAATTTCACCATCAAACAGTGAAGGAAACATTACTAAATCAGAACCTAAAATTCACATATTGTTTCAGTATAAAACTGGATCTAAAGAACGTGTGTCAACTGCAAATTCAAAGGAAAATTTGTTCAATTCAAAATATTATAACAATTTCATTCCTCACTCTGAAAATATAGAAACAGTTCCACCAGAAACAACTCATCATAAACATTGCAGTGAGGAAGAAACTTACAGACCACCCAACATAAATGGGGTGCCAGCAAGTAAGAAAGAATCAGGCACTAAGAGTTTCTATGAAGGTGCAGCTGAGTATGTTAGCCATAAACTTGTAAATGCTGCTTTAGAGGCTGGCTCCAGAGACAACATTACAGTTATGGTAATACTTCTCAATGGAAGTGAATATCAGTTTCTGATGTAAAAAACAAAGTTCTAATTATCCAGGGCACCAAAATATAATACCATAAAGACAATTCTTCAATAAGCCAGATATTAGGATAATTCATCAATACCATGCAAATGCTTTTTTAAACATAGTAAAGAAAATATAAAAGCAGTTATTAGGTTATACGCCATTTATGTATGTTTACTATTTTATGCCAAAAAAGAGGGGAAAAAAAAACCCAATACTTTGCTTTTTATATACCACTTTATTCCAACCTGAGCACCTCAATATAAAACTAAACACTGGTGAACCGTTTTCCTTACTAATTCTGCATTATCATAAATGTACAAGTTCTCCTAGCAGTCCAACACTTAAATAGATTAAATCATCTCTGACACATGGTTGATTTCATATAATGAAAATAACCTAAAATAATTAGTGCAATATACTGAACCAATCAAAAAAAAAATGAACTTTGGAAAACAAGGCTGCAAGATTGTTACTAACATATTGCAATACTTATGTTACAAATTACGGGTACATTTGTTTATTATGGTTCTAACCATGTAAGAACTGAATCCCCTTCCATTCAAAGGGGGAAAGAAAGAATTAGCTGTTTTAGTAACTGTACATTTTGTATACTTTTAAGCAACTCTTAAATATTACAGAAAAGTAATACATATATGGAGACTACAATGGAGTACCCTATTTACAGATCAAATTTAAAATAATCAAGTTTGAGTATACATAATTGTTAGTGCATTGACTATATTATGTCAAAAGGGAACAAAAGCCCCCTCCCTGCCCCCAAACAATAAAACCTATGTAATGGCCAGCAGTGATTAAATAGAAATCACAGACACCTGGTTTGTTTCATTTTTGTTGAAGAGCTCACATGTTTGAAGGGAACACTATCCATTAAGATGCATTTATCAGTTTTCATATTCCTAAAACAAGATGGGGTTACATTTGACTTTTTTTACCCCATTTAAAAAATAATAGGACTGGCTACTATTTTAGATGCCACTAATGTTCATTTTTTTTCCCTTTGAAGATGTGGGACTGTTTTCCTATCATTAATTTATTAAAATGTAGAATGTACACTTTATATAGATACCATGAGAAATTATGACTTGGCCAAATAGTGTAGCTAAGCATAAATATGTTTAGAATTTTTCTAAAAAATGGATTTTTGAAAATCCCAAATTAGTGAGTTGCAAATCTTTTTCGTAAGTGACTACTGGACCAGTGTGGAGAAACTGGACGGTTAACCATTTGTCTATATTCCTAGTGATAAGGAATGATTTCCCCAACCTTCCCATGAAACAAGTGTACATATAGTTCTCATTTTCCCTTTCTATTGCTGAAACATTAGTCAGAGGGACACATGCATGTTATTAAAAATTAAGTTCAAAACACTTAAAATAATTCTGTATTAGAAACTCGACTCTATCGTAAGTCTCTTCTTTTTGGAAGTCATACTGGGCTGGTTAAATGCTCCAATTCCACTGTTATTAACATTTAGGAAGCAGAAGAATATTCCAGCTAGTTCAAACTGGATATTTAGTTACTACAACACTGACTCCTGGTTGGTTGTGTAGGTTCAGTAAGGTCTACTCCTCTTCCTCTGGCAGAATTTGCTCCTGGATTCTGTGGTTCATTCTTTGGCAACTTTTTAGCTGAGAGATAAATTATCAAAATAAACAGAATTAGAATATATTAAAATTACTTTCATCTGCTTATTTATAATCTTTCTTTCCAGTTAGGTTACCCCGAAGTATCACATGACCATATGTTCATTCTTTCAAATGTTCACTGAGAATCTATTAAATACCAAAACATTGGATGCTGTCTTAAGGGAGTTTTAATTTCTTCGAGAGTTGTGTTGTCAAAGAGTAGATGGGGACCTATTACAGACAGACAAAACTTCAATTTGACTAGAGCTATATATAATTCTTTGCAAAGATTCACTTAGTAATACCAGAAAAGTTGTACTTTATTTGCCAGAGACACTTTTTGGAACAAGTCAGACAAAAACACCATCATTATCATCACCCAAACAAAACTTGTCTTCTACTGTGCAACCTAAATATCACACAAAATTATGACAGATCATATCTCTTATTTTCTTCCTGGCTTGCACAGCCTTCAACTTTCAAACACTCACATTTTCTCCTTTTATGGGCTGATAAAGAACCCTAATCTGATTCACCAGCAGATGTCTCTAATACAAATGGAATAGTTCCTGAAGCTCCTATCTCCAAAAAACTGTTTCCAAATTTTATTTAAGTCAGGTGAGTATGGCTTGTCAGATTCAGACAAAGCCCCTCAACCAGCAGTTATGTCTTTAGTCCTCAACTCTATAGACTAATGGCTCTTCTCTGGAGTGTGCTTCCCATTGATTAAAATTTACATGTTAGATGTACAGATGCTCCAACTTACAATGGGGCTACATCCCATTAAACCCATTCTAAGTTGAATGTGCATTTTTGACTCATGATACCTTTTCCATTTACATTGGGTTCATCCACACATAATCTCATGAAAGTTGAATAAGCATACTGAATGCACATCACTTTCATGCCATCATAACGTTGAAAAAGTCAAACCATTATAAATTGGAGACCGACGGACGATAGTTTTTTTTAAATACCTGAGATCTTTGATGTGCCAAATGCATTTTTTTTATTTTTGAAGGGAGCAGCAGTAATAGTAAATATGTCTTAGAGTACTGACTTTAAGGGTGGCTGGATACACTGGTCTCTAACAACCTTGGGGATGGACTACTACGGTAAGACTTTAATTTTACCATACCCTTGACTCGGGTTACTCAGAAGTTGAATGTGTTCTACTTTGAAATCTGAATGCCTAGTTGCATTGTGCATCTTTTATCCTTTATTTTTTCTAGACATTCCACTCCACATCGGCAGCATTAACTATCTTTAGAGTTCTAGATGCTAGGTTGGGCTAGGTTGAGTCTGGGAGCCAGGAACACTTAAGTTTGGAAAGAAAGCCTTCACTTGGGCCACTTTTCTAGGGCTGGCTTTAAGGATGGTAGCATAAATGGTAATACAATGGTAAATCTCCAGTCAGATGTATTTACAAGCAAAGCCCTGTAAGTGCTGAACACTGGTACCTGGGACACAAAATAGGCTACCACAACAAACTGTATGATAATTAATAAAATTCAGGTTCTGAATTGAGTGACTATTTCTCCCTTTAGCATGCTTCTCTCTAAGGGTTTCCTGTATTTAGATCTGAGTGAGATTAGGAGGCTGAAGAAATCACACCAGAATGAGGAATTTTTTAGTTGCTGAATTGTTATGAGTGCCCTAAGTAAGTTACTAATCTTGTGAAGGAAACAAAAAGACCACAATTCCATTTATACTCTTCCTTTCAAGATGGGAAACATTCTGATTTCAGAAAAAACACTAAAAACTCCAATATGTAGGTTACTTTCTGACTGAAAAAAATGACCTTATTAACACATCTGAATAAAAGGTACAAATTAAAGCCCATGTCGTGAAGCCTTAATACCATAAGAAATATTTAAATTCCAGATTGATGTGAGGAACCTATTACCTCCTTGCTTCCTGTCATTAACTTTCCAGATGCGATTCTGGGTATAATCTGTACCATTTGTAAAAAAGAGCATATTGTCGGGCCGGGCGCGGTGGCTCACGCCTGTAATCCTAGCTCTCTGTGAGGCCGAGGCGGGCGGATTGCTCAAGGTCAGGAGTTCAAAACCAGCCTGAGCAAGAGCGAGACCCCGTCTCTACTATAAATAGAAAGAAATTAATTGGCCAACTGATATGTATATAAAAAAATTAGCCGGGCATGGTGGCGCATGCCTGTAGTCCCAGCTACTTGGGAGGCTGAGGCAGGAGGATTGCTTGACCCCAGGAGTTTGAGGTTGCTCTGAGCTAGGCTGATGCCATGCCACTCACTCTAGGATGGGCAACAAAGTGAGACTCTGTCTCAAAAAAAAAAAAAAAAAAGATATTGATCTATCTTACCTATTGCCATGAATATTTCGTTCACATTCATTGATGTTTTGGCGGATGTCTCCATGAATAATAAACTGTTATCATCTGCATAGGACTGTGCTTCCTGTTCGTAAAACAAAAAAGGAGATATATTCCTTAGATAATTAGTATACCTGCTTTATTTTTGTTATAGAAAAATGAAAGCTTCCTTATTATTACTCCAACTTGATTACATATAATAAGCTACTACAAAGGTAGAGCACAGTGTAGGATAATTTTATAATGGAATATTTTCTTTTTTGCCTTAACTTCTTACACTATCTCACCCTAATTTATCTGTTCTTACATTAAATCTGCTTTCAAATAATGAATTCCAGGAGGGGGAAATTATCCTATTCTAAATATAAAACTATCTTTGATCTCAATGGCAATTTTTACTTATGCTTATTATCTGCAATGAAGACTAAAGAAAACCAAATATCTAACACTGGCTTCAACCACTAAATGACACCCTCATATTTAATTTTGAATTACTTTTATAGCACCATTATAATTTTGAATATCATGAATCATTCCTTTGAAAATTACATTACTGCCCTACATTTTTGTCATGCCTTTTACAGTTTACATATATTATGGCCTTTGTTCCTCACAGCTGTTGTGAGGATCAATCAATTATCTTTCCCATTTGACAAAGAAATAATTGAGGTTCCTTTTGAACTTATATGTGACAGGGCCCCTTTTGACTATATGTGCTCTACCACTCTATGCTAGGGAGATTAACTATCTTGGAAAAAATAACAGATGATACTACACCTCACATAGTTTTCACAAGAATTAAATGAAACTACTTGTGTGCTCAGCTTAATACCTAATGGTACAAGAAACACTAGTTTCCTTTCTCTCAGTGCACGTACTTCCTCCTGCATTCCCTCTATTGTCATCATCATAAAACAAAATTATTCCATCACTGATATCATATACATTATGGTCACAATCAAACTTCTCTGATAGAGAAGCCAAAGAGCAAGAGATGAAGTGCAGTTAAAAGATTTAAAAGATTTCCTTTGTTTTTAAATGATCACACTTGCTCTTTTTTTTGTACCAGGGAAAATTCTGAATTAGTTATTGTAGATGACATACAGACAATTGGATTTTGGGTCTTTATTTTTGAACGCCCCTTTAAGAATAATCACGAGTGTGTGTGTGTGTGTGTGTGTGTGTGTATGTGGGCACGCACATGTGTTGATATGTATTTGTAGATGAGTAGAAAAAGGTTAGGAAAGACACTAGTTGAAGTACATGTCAGGTGGGGGGATTAGGGCAGAAGGCAATCATTTTTTGCTTTTGTATTTTTGCACTGTGAACAATTACTTCTTTTGTAATTGTTTAGGTCTTCAAAACCTTTGAATCAATTTATAGATTATAATAATAGAAAGATATTTAAAAATTCAAGTTTATTGGAGGAAACATTACATGTAATACTTGACGTTTTAAAAATCTGCATTTTCTATTATATGCATGGCTTTAAAATAATAACTAATTCAGTGTTGACATAATAGAAAGATTTACAAAATATGTGCCTTTAAGTACAAGTTAAATTCAACATACCTGGAAATCTACAGCTCTTTTATTTGCTAGGTCAGCCTTGTTTCCTGATAAAGCTATTACAATGTTAGGACTTGCTTGCCTCTGAAGTTCTTTAACCCAATTTTTTGCTCTTGCAAAGGACTCCTGTTAAACAAAGAAATAGCTATTTGGCACAGGCTCAAAAAATGGCTAGTATGCATCTTTGTGATACAAGGCTTTAAAAGACTGTCCAATGTAGCTCTGTGGGAAAGAAATTCTTAGGACTACTGTATTCCTTAAGACACTTTCACCCCCATTTATTTATTTATTTATTTTTATTTCGGCATATTATGGGGGTACAGATTTTAAGGTTTCAATAAATGCCCTTTCCCCCCGCCCCCCACAAGTCCCTCTTATTTTTTAAAAATCAGACTTT